CACTTCTTTCAGTTTGAATAATGTAATGATTATTGAGCTATTCAATATTCCTAATCACGTATGAACACCGCACGGACGTTTTTATGGTTAACTATTGGAGCTTCTATGAATTTAACTTTTTCCGACAGGCATATTATTCGAAATCCTTTTTATTAGTTCTTGAATCGAAAGTTAATTTCCGTGTTGGCACTTCATCTTCTGGAAGTCAACTTGGTTGGTGGAACGCGCGTCTAAAAAAGAACTGCAGTTCTGGTGTTTGGGGACAGTGTTTGTCTCGGATTTATTCTACCCCAGACCTTCCAGTTATATCATTCTAAATGATTCCCTTAACTACAAAGTATATGGAATATTTTTGGAGTCCTCTGGTTATTCCATTTTTTTTGTAGATTGTAGATGAGTCGACTGAAGCATAATTATCATCTCTCACTTCTCACTACTTTTTTGAAATGGTCAAATAATTATTATAAAAATGTTACGTGAATTCATTTACCTGTGAGCCAACCAGGTTCGTCTCCTTCATCAGGACAGGTAGCCTCGTCATCCTGATTTGCCGCAGACTCATTGAACTAGAAAAATAATGAATGATAATGATGTTGCAAAAATGAGTACATAATACAATAGTATTGAAGAACGATGTACTGAAAAAAAAATGTGGTTTGGGTCACAGATCATATATTTGTTGATGTCGAATGTCACTTGAATTTGAACTTTATCATTGGTTGGTACTACACATTTACGAATCGATTACATGTCATATGTCAACTTCAAAATTTGATATCTTTATATGGTCTTCTTCAAAGAACAACAGTTGGTTTTCATTTTTGAAAAATTATATTTCATTTATGATATAAATTATTTGTGTTTGTCTTCAATTCCTTAATGTTATTTTTGGTCTCTCCACCTATATATGTTCTGTTCACATTCTAATCAACCTGCCAACAAAAGTCACTGTAAGTTGTGTTTTTGACTGATCTCTTTATATAGATCTAATCTGTTCTCTTGTCCATATTGTAGCATCCCTGATGATCGGAAGTTCGGACAAAATGTGAATAACCAAGAAAAGTAAAAAATAACTGCATAATTGCGTAAACGCTAGCGAGACATATATGGAACCACCTATCGGTGTGACACCCATGTCAACTTGCCAAGTTTTTTATGTCAGTGTTGGTGGTTTGACCAATAAACCGATAACTGCGGTAGCAGAAATTTGGGAAGCTAACCTGAAATGCCATCAGAAAACGAATCCACATGTTTCTAGAAATCATATGAAATCGAGAAAGTTCAATGCTGTCTAGCTGCTGGAAAATAATTTCATGAAAATCAAAAGATAAATAGATAAGTACTATTTTGATCATATCCATATTGATTTTAATTTACGAGCCACCAGTAGACAGCTGTTGATTGGTTACACCATCAAAACTGACATAAAAACTTGGCAAGTTGACTTGGGTGTCACACCAATAGGTGGTTCCATTTATGTCTCGCTTACGTTCACGCAGTACTTTTAGTAAGTACTTTTCTTGGTAATTAACATTTTGTCTTCAATCGATGATTGAATTGATTTTCGTTGCTGATGAAACAATTGAAAATATTCCCTTTCCTTAGTTACAAACCATTGTTTTGAATATGTTCAAATTTTGAATTTCAAGATTTCTCATCATATACAATTTTGATAAAAACATCTATTATAAACTTACAAGTTTTGTATATCTTCACCTATTTCTGAATAACTTCATTTTCTGAAAGCATTACTCAATAATCGTACCTAAGGAAAATTTCTTCCCCTCTATTTTCCAAACATTTCCTTAATTTAAATTAATCCTAAAGACTTCATTTCATCTCTTCACATTTCTCACAACAGATACATTTTTATACCTGATTGGTACTAATTTCCAAGTTCTATCTGTTGTAGTTTTTTCAAGTTGATTAATTTAATTTCAGAATTTTGAAATTGACATCTCTGTTGTATAACACGTGGTTTCCGATCTCAGAAATGCCTTGTGACTATATACGGGTCGATCAAAAGTTTCCCTGAGTTTTACTAAGTTGTTCAATGTTCGTTCTTATTTATTATAGTGGGTCAGGTTTTCTTTTCCAAAGGAGGAGAGTTGAAACCCATAAATGCCAGGAGTGAATTATGTGAATGACGAATATTCAGGTGATAATTTACCGTTATATTCAGAAGTGAAAACTTACCGTTATTGTGTCGCGGCCTTGACGATTGAGTAGGTAAAACACATCTATAAGTTTTAACTTTAGATCATTCGGTATTCCCAGAGCAAGACGCAGACTATTCGTCAGTGATGGAATAACATCACAGTCTAATTGATCTTTCATTAACTCATCATCATAATCGCAACCGTCGAAAGTTCTGATAATAAAGAGAAGGCACTTCATTTCCCTCTTGGAAGTATAGTTAAATGTTTCTATGACTTTGAGCAACACCTTGATGCACTGCCTGCGTTGTTCCAAATCATGTTTCAAAATGTGGGAAAAAATGGTACAGAGACTCTCGATGTAAATTTCACATTCACATGTTAATTCTGTAACAAAAAAAACATTAGAGGAACACCAATATTTCAAGTCAGGGTTCTGCAAAATATTAATTTCAGAAAACCATTATCGATAGGTACATTTAATAAAAGTGGAACTCATCGCTATTTGTACTCAGAAGAGTTCAAATGAAAATTATAATTGGGGGTCGTTATTTACGCAACTTAAGAAATGTTGTCTGTGCGTTTGCGTGCACTAACAGAGTGTTACATTTGAATTATGAAAGTGGGTACCAACTTCCGGAATAACCAGAATTTTTTAAAAAACACCATTATATCCATTCGATGAAGCATATCGAAAAACTACTTTTCGGTGAGTAATTTAATTGGGAACAAATTTTTTTGTGATATTGGAATGATAATAATTGTATAAGTTTTGTGGAAGGTATGTTTAGGGACGAAGACGAGTAAGGAGTGCACGTGCGTGTGCTCGTGCTCGGCGTCCAGGCTTACTTCCCCAGAAGACCTGGAAACTGTCGACGACTACAAAAAAGTTGAACAACTGCGATGGGAGGACCAGGTGAATACGAGTACAACTGTAATTGTGGTAAACCCCCTTGAGACGAGGTGCATAAGGTTGTCATAGTCGAACCTGAAGACCCGGAGATGACATAGAGCATAAAAAATCTGTTCAGAGAGAAGTTCCCGGAACTGTCCAAACTCGAGGGAGAAATTGAGACCATAGAGCAATTGACCAGAATCAGAGGAGCAGGGAGCATTTCGAACAGAAAGGTCACCAGAATTATTTATGACGGAACGGCACCAGATCTCTGGGAGAAACTGAAAAAGCTGAAAAAGGCAATAAAGGAAGATAGGAGGGCGAGCCTGCATCACATCAAGACAATACCAGTCAAGGAGTTCAGGAAGATGGTTGAGGAAACTTTCCATAGGGAGACCACTACTCTGGAGATATACACTACGGTCCAGAACAAGATGGGAAACAAAGACAATAAGTACGGGGTCATAGTGAGCTAAGGTGGAAAATCATATATGGACATTCTAGGTTCAGTTAAAAATGCCGTAGGGAACTCTGAGACGGCAAAGGCCATCAGAGGAATTAGGAAGACAAGAGAAGGAAACCTCCTCCTCACGACGAAAAAGATCCGGAAGCGCTTTCAGAGTTAAAGAAGGCCCTAGATAGTAAGGGATCACTCAGGAGTTTGGGAGGGAGCGGGGCTTCTGTCACCTTTCACCTTAGAGACATGGAGGCAGACGCCACTAAGGTAGAGGTCCAAGAGGCACTTAGAACGGATACTGAACAGTGGACCAGTGAATGCAAATTAAGCGAGATAAGATCGTTCAGGAATGATACGACGGCCATAACGATGACCTTGCCTAGAGATTTGGCTAAGCCAATGTATAAGAAGGAAGAATTGAGGGTAGGCCTCGTCAAATGTAGCGTCGAAAGGAGAGTGGTAGTCCATAAATGCACAAGATGCTGGAGCCATAATCATAAAAAGAACAGTTGTAAAGGGCCCGACATAACAGGAAACTGCTACAAGTGTGGGAAGGCGGACCACAAGGCCCAAAATTGTAGAGAGGAGGAATACTGCCCGTTGTGCGAAGCGACGGCACATTCAGCAGGAAATGCGAGTTGCCCCCGTTTCAGAGAATAGCTCAAATAGGCAGGAGGATCCTCAGAGAAATGAGAAGGGCTAGTGTTACTAGAGAGGAAGATTTTTTCCCAATAATGACTTACAAAAAGAACAGTAGACAGCAGAATGAAGATGTGGAGAAGTCTCCTAACATGGAGGAAGAAGTTTTCTCTTTGAAGACTGACAGGAGTAGATCCAGGGAAAGTACATCCTTCTTCGAAGACCCTGATCGATCAGAAGTAGAAACATTGAACGAAACCCATTATGTGCTTATAGGTTTAATTAAAGATCAGGCAACTAGATCAATGCAGGAAGGGACGGCTCAGGAGACTCCCAACATCCAGTAATGCCACTAAAAATAGTACAAATTGACGTGGACAGAAGGGGGGCAGCACAAAAAGTGCTGGCAAAAATCATAGAGGAAGAAGGAGTAGACATTGCCATGGGCAGGGAGCCTAACGTCCGGATATTATCTGACAATCCACGGTGGATACTAGACTCTGCAAATAGCTTTGCGCTATTCTGCGCGAACCCAGGCTGCGGCGTGGTAACTCTTTCAAGGAAGAACTACACCTTATTTTGGATCACGTGGTGGGCTCAAAGACCGAAGCGATAGTCGCGGGAGACTTCAATGCCAAATCGCCTTCCTGAACTTCACCATTAACAGATGCCAGCGGCACATATATGTACGAAGCGCTGCATGGTAGTCCTAAACGAGGGGAGTACCCCGACTTTCACTAGGGGTGTAACGACATCATACATAGACGTAATGTTTGCCACGCAGGAGGCTAGCAGATTGGTGCATTCGTGGAGGGTATCCACAGGGGAAAGCCTTAGTCTACATAGGCATATATTCTATGATATCAACATAGATAATGAGACACCGAAGAGAGAATGGGTGGAAAGGCCTCGCCTGCAGGCAGATGCATTCAGGGACGCTCTTCGGATATCCGCTAGGGGGGTAAAAGACACAAAGAGGCTCGTCAAGGTAATTAGAGAGGCACAGGATCTGAGCACGGTGGCAAAACAGGTTGGTCCCAACAGGCTGCAGCCAGTATGGTGGAACGAAGAGACTGGGCAGCTAAGAACAATTTGCAATAGGTACAGGAAGTCCCTCAGAAGAGCTAGAGGTAGAAACATAGATCAAACCACGATCGAAGGATTAGAGGCAAGATATAAAAGCTGCAGGAAGGAATTAAAATCTGCAATTTGGAGGGCACAAAGGAGCAAATGGGAGGAGCTATGCAGTGAGTTGGAAGAAGACCCCTCGGGGAGAGGATATCAAATGGTCACAGGGTCTATGAGACATCTTAGGACCACGTATGACCTACATCATACAATGTAGGTCAATGTAGGAACCTGACGATAGCCAGGTTCCATCATTCCCCAGATCAAATGAGAATCCACCACTGTTCAGCACCGAAAAACTCCAAGCGACGGTGGGGAGACTAAAAAACAAAAAGGCACCAGGCCCGGACGGCATCCTTTCGGTAGCCATAAAGTTAGCGGTAGACACATGCCCGGACATCTTCCTAAATATCCTAAATGCGCTGCTGGTGGAGGGGGCCTTCCCCTAGGAATAGAAGAAGGCTGAGGTCATTCTTATACCCAAAGGCGGAGGTAATGAGACAAACATCAAGGTTAGACCGATCAGTCTGATAGATATCCCGGTCAAACTGTATGAACAGTTACTGAAGGCAAGGTTGAAAGCGGAGCTAAGAGATAAAAATTGAATTTCGGACAGCCAATTCGGTTTTTGGCCAAAAAAAAAAGCACAATCTAGGCAGTCCAGTTCGTCCTGGACAGAGCATGTGAAAGAGGGGCAGCGTGGGGTGCGATCATCCTCATAGATGTGAAGAATACCTTCAACTCCGCGAAATGGGGAAAAATTTCCCATAAACTACAGGAAATTGAAGTCAGCAACTATCTAATCTATATTATGTCCGAGTATCTCTCAGGAAGAACATTGGTGTGTGGAAGGCATCAGCAAGATATGACACAGGGTGTCCCACAGGGTTTCATATTGGGGCAACACTGTGGAACGTAGTCTACGATGGAGTGCTGAGTCGTAGAGAGCGTAGTCTAGGATGGAATGCTGCAGCATTTGCTAACGACCTGGCATTGGTTGTGAGGGCAAAGAAGCCAAGCCTCCCTATGAATAGGGCGAACACCGCGCTCACACTAATAGGGGAATGCATAAGTCTAATAGCCTTGAAATCGCGCTCCAGAAAACTGAGGCCGTCATAATAAAAGGCCCCAGAAAGAAAGACAACATCTTTTTTGATTTACAGGGAGTAAGGATAATACCAAAAAAGTTCGTAAGTCTGGCTGGATGACAAGAAGATTTTTAACGAGCATATCCGCAAGACCTGTGAGAAGGCGGATAGGCAAGTAACCGCCCCGTCTAGGATATTGCCCAACATGAGGGGACCCACTACAGGCAAAAGAAGGATGCTGTACGGCGTGGTACAATCTGTGATGCTATATGCGGCACCGGTCTGGAAAAGAGTAATGGAGGTGGACAAATGCAAGAGAATGGTAAATGTCACACAGAGAAAAATGATCGTCAAAGCGATTGTCGCGTATAGAACAGTGTCAGCGAAGGCGGCCTGCGTGATAGCTCCTGGTCAGGGAAGGGTCTCGCTTGAATGAGATACCGGATGTCCAAAAAGAACTCAAAGACACCGAGAGGCGGAGAACGGTACAGGAGTGGCAGAATAGGTGTGACACAAATACACTAAATGCCTAATGGACAAGAAGGGTAATACCGGATGTCCAGTCTTGGCTGGCCTGCAGACATAGACAGGTAAACTACTTTATTACACAGTTTCTTACAGGGCATGATTCCTTCAGGCAATTGGTCGGTCGGTAGCCAAGCGGTTCGGCGTGAGTGCTTTGTTCACTCACTCGAATTGACTGCCGTGTTGGTCGGTGGTTCAAGCCCTAGTCTGAACGATCGATTTTCACTTGCTATCGTCCAATCCGTGTTAGGAATCACACGTTAAAAGGTAAAACCTCGTTAATCCTTAGTTCGCACAAGTTTCATCTCAGAGAAAGAAGTCTATTCGAACAGGAGACTGGGAGAGTAGCGTTCATCGATACCATGGTAAGGGAAATGTTGAACTCTAGAGAGGGTTGGAAAACGGTTGGCACGTTCATCGAGAGAGTAATGGAACAAAAAGAGGTAGAAGCGAGAGAACATCAGAGGTAAAGAGAATGATTCAGATAAAACAAGATATGTAATCAGCTGAGATGTACAAGAAACGTAGCTGCCCAACTCTGAGTATGTCCTTCCGGATAGTTCCAGGGATGGGATAGTTCTCAAAACTAAATTGGATTCAGCAACGTTCTGAGATTTTACTTCAAGAAACACGTTCATTTACTTACCTCTCAAGTCTGAATTCAACAATGTATTGTTGAGAATATCAAATATCTCCGGAATCGGCAGTTGACACTCAGTTTTAGAGTTAAAAAAGTATTGAACGATGTTCACTGTATGTATTGGCGACAGAAGCAAAATTTTTATCAGAAACGTTGAGCAGTTTTCTCCTTCGACGTTTTTCATATTGGAAAAAATATCGTAACTGTTGTTGAAGCCTGAAAAATATTGCAACGCTTCGATGATTTCCTTCAAAAACTCTTCCTTGGCGCCGGTCTTTTCCCACTCCGCGGTGACCTTCATGAACACGGAGCACAGAACATTCATCGCCTTCAAGGGTCCGAAGAGCTCCGAAACCGTATGGTAATCCAAAAGATTTCTGAAATTAATAAAAGTACCCTTCAAAATGTAGAAATGAAGGCATTCAATAACAGAATTCATAGTGAACATGGGAAAAATGAAAATATGATTAACTCGTCTAGAAAAATTAAACACATAAGAGACGAATATATTTTCCGAGGAGAAATTAGATTTTGGGAAATTAAAAGAAAATCTAAAACAATAAAAGAATGAAAGCTGTTTACCACCCTATAAATATATATAAAAAAAGTTTAATNTTCTATAAATTTTGTTGTAAGTTACATTCGTTTAATAATCACCCGTCAACTTTTTTTTCCCTAAAGCGATCTAAAAAAAAATTATTGCCATTTTTGAAAATATCCCTAGACTTTTCCGATGTGTGTATATATACATATACACCTGAAGAGAGTAAACAAAAAACAAAATAAAGGAAACATATAGAAGAGTTAAGCAAAAAATTAGGTGAAAAACTTGTGTGCAGCAAGCTAGGAGAGTAATTGAAAAAAAAATAAGTCAGATATAGAGCCAACAAGTAAAAACATAATTCAGGTATATTACAAAAAAACATAATTCAGCAGTTATACAGTAGTAGTAATAAGCTCACATGGTAGAGTAACTTTCAATTTGGGCTCATGTATTTTGACTAGAGTGTAAAAGTTTCTTAACATGGTTCTTAACTTGACCAATAGGATCATAATAAATGTCGAGATTTTCACAGAGTTGATTGTCGAGTTTGCTCATTGCAACAACTGGTGACTTGAGTAATATGTTTGTTCTAAAATTTGGTAGATATTCATGGAACATGAAAGTTGAAGTGGGAGAGTAGTTCGGGACAGTCAATCAGATTATTCACTAGTTTATAAATGAAAATTATAGAGTAGTAGGATCTTCGGTTTTGAAGGGATAATAGATTAAATTTATTCAGTAGTATTCTGTTGTCGATGCCTTGTTCAGGGTAAACTCTGTCTAGCTTGTAAGTGATATATTTCATGAAGCCTCTTTGTATAGACTCGATTTCGTTTATGTGGACATTGTATATAGGTGACCATATTAGGGAGGCATATTCCAGCCGATATTTGAAGTATGCATTGAAAAGAGTTGAAAAACTGTCTCTGCTACGAAAGTTCTTAGAGTTACGATTAATGAGCCCTAGCATCCGTTTGGCTGAGCATGTTATTGTGTCATAGTGAATGGAGAAACTCAGTTTAGGGTCAAATGTGAAACCAATTGATCCCTTTGATGAGTGCTTATTTGAAGAGGTACGTTATTTATGCAGTAATCA